ATATTAATGACTAGACGAATTAAGTGTGCCTTGTGTTTTTTTACAAACCTGACAGCGCGCATGTACCAATCACTGTTATCTAGGTGTTATCATGTGTTATCAGGTGTTATCTAGGTGTTATCATGTGTTATCATGTGTTATCTAGGGTTTATCTATGTGTCATATAGGTGTTATCTAGGTGCTATCTAGGTGTTATCTAGGTGTTATCACTGTTTATTTATCTATATGCGCACTATCGTATGTTTTGACAGAGTATGATAGCGATTCTAGTATAGAGTTATAGAGTGTAGAAGCAAACGTTGTGTGTATGTGGGTGCGGTGCAAAGATCTGATGGATGTTGGATCGATTTTGTGAGAATACATCTATAGAAAATACATATATTCTATATACAGGATACATGAAGAGTTAAATAGACAATGTATAATTAAGTATATAGATGGATAGATAATCAGCTACGAAGTTTAATAAGTACACAATTTCACACTTTTATTTACATTAATAGTTACCGCGTTGAACATAAAACTCAACTATGTACGAACGAAATTAATAGCCATAATTTTCACATAATTTTCATATAATAACTGAAAGAATATTTTTATAATAATAACCTGAGCGATTTCGTATACACCTACAGTGGTAAAGCATCTGCAGTGATCAGGTATTGAACTCTGCATGCACTATATGTGTTGTCGTTCGCGAACGAGTTTGTAACGTCGAAAACGGGTTCGTATTTGAGAATTGCTGCGTTACGATGACTATGCATTTAATGGCGCATTTTACACTGGGGGAGAATCTGACCGCATTCTGGTCACGTTCGCGCAAGAAAAAAAGAGACTAAGCTTTCGCTTTTCAAATAATAGCTGATCAAATATTTTCAAAAGCTATCTGGAAAAAGTGTGTAAGTCGTCAATGGCAGATGAATCACTAGAGAGACACCGTCTTGTGTCGGCTAACGCTCCATTAGGAGTGTTCCCAACTTTGATATCATTAATGATTAATGATTAATGATTAATGATTGATAATCCTAACCCTAACCCTAACCCTAACCCTAACCTAAATTACATTAAACCACAAACTAATATATGACCATGACCATATATATATTATGACCATTAATGACATTAAAGTTGGGAAAACTCCTAATGGAGTATCACCCGTCTTTTTCGTAACTCGTCCGTATAGTGATCAGGTATTGTACTTTGTGTGCCGTCCGTTACAGCCCCCTGTTGAAAATCCGCAATCGCTTGAAAATTGTCGAGTCACGATGACTATGCATATAAAGGTGCATGCTACCCTGGGCAAAAATCTTAGTGTATTCAGGTTATTCTGGTATCAGGAATTTGCCTCACAATGCGTCACAGTTATGTGTTGAAGACAAACATCAGATTAAAAATCGATGTGATGTGATGGCGGCTATGTCAGCCATGCTGCACATTCTCACTGGCCAACACATGCACCCTACCTGGGCAAACAGGTCATACTGCATGTCATCAGGAGTCAATCAATATTGATCGTCTATTGAGTCTATCAATATTGATAGACTCCTGATGTCATGCATTAATGCGCGTACACCTGTGTGTGTGTGTGTGTGTGTGTGTGTGTGTGTGTGTGTGTGTGGTCTCTCCTCTCTTTTCTCGTCTCGTCTCTCCAGCTCTCATCTCTCTCTCTCGTTCTTGTCCCCCTCGTCTCAGGGCTCGGGTCTTCGGCGGGAGTCTCCTCTCGGTCTTCCTCTCCTCCTCTCCCGAAGGTCTCCCTGTCATCCCTGGCTCTCTCGTCGTCTCTCTCTCTGCTCGCTCTCTCATCTCTATCTTTCTCTCTCTTCCTCGAAGTCCGGCTCTCGTTCTGCGGCCGCGGGGGGGAGATTTCTTTCTCTCGCTCTCTGGTCTCACCTCCTCTGATGGCTCCTCCCTCCGCGCAGCGGGTCCCGTGCGGCTCGTGGCTCTATCCTCTCCCAGTCCTCCCGCTCGTTGGTTCTCATTTTCCTCTCTCTCTCTCGGTCTCATCGTTTCTCTCTCTCTCCCTCTCCTCTCTCGCTCTCTTCATCCGGCTCTCCGGCGTCTTGTCTCGGCCTCTTTCTCTCTCGCCTGCGTCTTTCCCGCAGCTCTCCACTCATCGCGCGTCTGCTCTCGGTCCCTCTCTCGCCTCTCTCTCTCACTCGGTTCTCTCGTCTATATCCTATCTTTCTCTCATCTCGCCAATCCGCTCTCGCATCGTCGCTCTCGTCAAGTCTCTCTCTGGCTCTCTCTCCTCTTGTGTCCTCTGCTTCTCTCTCCCTGCGCCAGCCGTTTCTCTGCTCGTGCTCCTTCTCCTCTCGCGCCAGGCCGGCGTCACGGATCTGCTTCTCGGACGCTCTCACAGGGGTGCTAGTCCGCTCGCGCGACGACGGCGTGACGTCTACGGTCTTCTCTCATCTCTCTCTCGTCCGAGGTCTCTCTTCGTCGTCTCTCTCGTCTCTCATGCTCTTCGTCTTTTCTTCTCGTCTCTCTTCTTACTTTCTCTCTCTCTCCCGCGCAGCCTCTCGTCATCCTGTGCTCTCTCTTCTCTTTGCTTCTCCCGTCACGGTTCTCTTCTCTCCGTCGCTCACTCTCGTCTCTCCACGCCTCCTTCCTCTCTCCTCTCATCGGCTCGTTCATCTCTCTCTCTCCATCTCCGT